AAAATGGTTAGGGATGCGCCTTTATGGTGTCCATTTTCGGAAAGAGCATCGAAAATGCTCCTCGACCACTTATTCTCATAATCCAAACCCATCTGGAATTCCCACAGTGGCCAGATTTATATTTCATATGGTCACTGTAGGAGAAATGGGTTTGTACCCACTGTGGGAAAATGGTTAGGGATGCGCCTTTATGGTGTCCATTTTCGGAAAGAGCATCGAAAATGCTCCTAGACCAATGATTCTCATAATCCAAACCCATCTGGAATTCCCACAGTGGCCAGATTTATATTTCATATGGTCACTGTAGGAGAAATGGTTTGGACCCACTGTGGGAAAATGGTTAGGGATGCGCCTTTATGGTGTCCATTTTCGGAAAGAGCATCGAAAATGCTCCTCGACCACTTATTCTCATAATCCAAACCCATCTGGAATTCCCACAGTGGCCAGATTTATATTTCATATGGTCACTGTAGGAGAAATGGGTTTGTACCCACTGTGGGAAAATGGTTAGGGATGCGCCTTTATGGTGTCCATTTTCGGAAAGAGCATCGAAAATGCTCCTAGACCACTTATTCTCATAATCCAAACCCATCTGGAATTCCCACAGTGGCCAGATTTATATTTCATATGGTCACTGTAGGAGAAATGGGTTTGGACCCACTGTGGGAAAATGGTTAGGGATGCGCCTTTATGGTGTCCATTTTCGGAAAGAGCATCGAAAATGCTCCTAGACCAATGATTCTCATAATCCAAACCCATCTGGAATTCCCACAGTGGCCAGATTTATATTTCATATGGTCACTGTAGGAGAAATGGGTTTGGACCCACTGTGGGAATTCCAGATGGGTTTGGATTATGAGAATCATTGGTCTAGGAGCATTTTCGATGCTCTTTCCGAAAATGGACACCATAAAGGCGCATCCCTAACCATTTTCCCACAGTGGGTACAAACCCATTTCTCCTACAGTGACCATATGAAATATAAATCTGGCCACTGTGGGAATTCCAGATGGGTTTGGATTATGAGAATAAGTGGTCTAGGAGCATTTTCGATGCTCTTTCCGAAAATGGACACCATAAAGGCGCATCCCTAACCATTTTCCCACAGTGGGTCCAAACCCATTTCTCCTACAGTGACCATATGAAATATAAATCTGGCCACTGTGGGAATTCCAGATGGGTTTGGATTATGAGAATAAGTGGTCTAGGAGCATTTTCGATGCTCTTTCCGAAAATGGACACCATAAGGGTGCATCCCTAACCATTTTTCCACAGTGGGTCCAAACCAATTTCTCCTACAGTGACCATAGGAAATATAAGTCTGGCCACTTTTCTTGTTCTGGCCACAGTTCTTATAATTATTAATTTTTAATACAATTCATATAACATTTTATTGTTATATTATTTTCATAATTTTAACTTTTATTTTCTTTCACAGCAAGCACTTTTGAGTTAAATTTAAATTTACTCTCACGAAAATGTAGTTAAATTTAAATTTATCTCTGAGAGAAAACCAGTGTTGGTAAGCGAAAAATCAAAGTAGTAGAATTTAAATTTAAATTTATTTTCACGCCCATGAATATCGGGAGGTACCATTATATGGGGGCTATACCAAAACGTGGACCTGAACACACAACTTTCTGTCACAAGCTCTAGTATCCATTACGAACTTTAAATACCAAATCTGAAACATTCCCGGTGAATAATATCGCTAAAATCATCAAAATACCGAATATCGGGAGATACCATTATATGAAGGCTATACGAAGACGTGGACCTGCACATACAATTTTCTGTCATAGGATGTAGTATCCATTACGAACTTCAAATACCAATTTTGAAACAATTCCGGTAAATAATGTCGCTAAAATCATCAAATTACTGAATATCGGGAGGTGCCGTTATATGGGGGCTATACGAAGACGTGGGCGCGCATAGGCAATTTTCTTTCTTAGGCTGTAGTATCCATTAAGAACTTCATATACTAAATTCGAAATATTTCCGGTGAATAATGTCGCTAAAATCATCAAAATACCGAAAATAGGGAGGTACCATTATAGGGGGCCATACAAAGACGTGGACCTGCACAGATAATTTTCTGTCATGGGCTGTAATATCCATTACGAACTTCAAATACCAAATTTGAAACATTTCCGGTGAATAATGTCGCTTAAATCACCAAAATACCGAAAATAGGGAGGTACCATTATATGGGGGCAATACCGTGGACCTACATGGCCCATCTTCAATACCGAAAGTCTTGCAGACATAATATACATTTGAGTAAAATTTTATCAACATACTTCACTTTGTTCGGAAGATAGAGTGATTTTCACAGACGGATAGACGGACGGACATCGTTAAATCGACATAGAATTTTATGCTGATCAAGAGTGTATGTACTTTGTGGGGTCTAAATGTATATTTCGAGGTGTTACAAACGGAATGAAAAACTTTATATACCCTCTATGCTATGGTGGAAGGTATAAAAACACACATTTGAAATGGATGTTTTTCTTTCGAATTTACTTTCGAATCGTCATTTATCAAATGACCCCACAGTTGAAGGACAAGAAATGGTCGATTTTCCCATTGTTGTTTGCTTATGCTTTGAAAGTTAATAAAATATGCGCTTTAATGAAAACAGAGTTTCATAAATGATTCATCGTTGGGCGCCATTTAATCTATAATAATAGTGACGATATTAATTGTCATGCAACAAAATACTGTCTCGCCAAAAACCTACAAAATTGCCGAATTGTGTAGATTTTCTTTATGGATGGTAATAGAGAAGAAAAACTTTGAAAGAGTTTTTCTTCTCTATTACAAACAAATTTGTTTTTCATAATTTTGTTGACAACATTTAATTTATTCCATTTGAATTGTTTTCTTTTCTTTTTGTTTTGTAAATTCCTTTCGTCTATACATTTTCCGCTACATTAATTTACAAATTTTTTTCGCAAAGAAAATTTTCGTTTTTCTTGGCGTCATCACCAAATTTACATATATTTTATATGAAAAGCAAATTATATTAAATTATATTATATTAAACAGCAGAGATTTCTTGTAAATTTGGCGATTTGTATGTTTTAACATAATATACAAAATGTTTTTCGTAATTATTATTATTATTGACGGAAATATTGTGCAGCTTTATTTGGGCTGTAAAGCAGTTATGAGGAAAAAAAGGAAAAAAATATATTGACGTTTTAGAAGGAAGAAATTACAGAAAAATCGTGGGATTTTCCATGCGAGTATTTGGTACTAAATTACTGCACTCTGACAGCTTTTCATAAAAAGATAAAAATAATTTTGATTCTCGTGTAAAATATGAAGGATTCGCTCTATTAGTGTTTGAAATGTGCGCCATCTAGTGATACTGGATGAACCAGCCCCATCTTGGGACACAAACGTGTATTTTAGGCGACTACAGAGTAAAGAAACTACAATTTTTTAAAGCCCCGATTACACACTTTGTTATAGTCATATGTAGAGTAACTTTTTATTTTACATTTTATAGCATATTTTAAGGGGCTTCTAGCTTCTATATATGAAAGACTTGTGAAATAACTGACTGACTGAATCTAGAAACTTATAATTTTGCTCGAGGGTCAGTCTTGGTGTGTATGCTGCGATTTTGGAAATTCGTACTAAAAGGGTACGTAAAGTACTAAAAAACACTAAATATTTAATACTTTGTATTGAACAAACGGACACTATGCAAATGTGTATTTGCTTGGGAACCCTAAATGAGTGACCACACCTTTTAGACGAATATAGAGTTTAGAAACAACAGGATGACATGAAAAAATTGCAACCAACTTCAGATTGCTGTCATTTCTAAGCCACTCGTCCGACAGCTGTTAAAATTATTCAAGCTCATTATATTGTTTACAAGCGTACAAAAGCATTTTGGTGAGAATTTTGCAGAAAAAAGTTATTCGTGATGGAATTCAAGTGTGATAGTGTGATTTCTTTTTTTTTGGCTGGAAAATCACAAGTGGCCATCGTTAGAGCACTTCAGCATTTAAATGTGAATAAATATTTTGTGTCTCGCACCATCGCTCGTTACCGTGATACTGGTGGCGTAGCCCGATGACAAAGAAGTGGGCGGAAGAAAACAGCGACATCAGCAGAAATGGTTCGAAAAGTAAAGTATCGACTTGATCGAAACCCGCGTCGCAGTGACCGAAAAATGGCTCGTGAGCTGAACAGATCGCAAAGCCATTGAAATTCCAAAAAGTGCAAGAACTTACATCGCTACACGAAGAAAATAGACTCAAATATGGTAGCCAAATATGGTAAACTGCACCATTGCACTCAGCACGCGCCACCCATGAATGGTTACAAAATGAGGTTCCTCGCTTCATTTACAGCGCACAATGGCCACCAAAATCTCCGGATACCAATCCGTTGGACTATTGTGTCTGGAGTATTTTGGAAAGCAATGTTGGCACTAAAAAAATACCAAAGTGTCGATCACTTCAAGCAAGCGCTTCGCCGGGAATAGGCCAAAATTCCGCAGAGCAACATTCGGGTAGCGTGTGAAGTTTTCATTGGCCGTTTGAAGGCCATAATTTAATTCATAATCCAATTCGAACAAATCTAAACTTATTCTTAAATTTGATGCTATTTCCGACATTTTTTGCTTTCATTCAATGAAATTAAAAAAAAAAATGTAAAAATAAAGGCGTTTGATTTTGTTGCAGTTTATTTACCTCACCCTGTAGATACAATACTATAAAACGTCTTTTCAAACTAAAATTTCTGGGAACCTAAAAGTATGCTATACAAATCCTACAGAAAATTTTGAAAAAAAAATCACTTTACATATGACTTTAACATCATGTGTAATCTAGGCTTAAAATAATAATTTTCTAACCAAATTTAACGTCCTACACAAAATTAACAATGGAGATATTGCATTTTTGGCTCTCTAGTATTATGTTCCTGATTAGATTTTTTATATTTTTTAATGGTGATCTTTTGTTATTTTTCAGAAAATCTCTAGAACTATGTCCAATACGGAGAAACAGGGAGTCACAAAAATAAGAAGTAAGTACTCAATATAAATACATTCTTAATAAATATTAAAGAAATTTGGAGAAGGTTGAATAAACTCACAGAAAATTCTTAATTTGTAAGAATTGTATGGAAATTCTTCTAAAATATAAAGAACGAATTTATTTTAATAAAAATCAGATTTGTTCATATTAATCAATTTGCTTATGACCATCTAATAAAAAACAAAACTCAAATGACTTCATACTGTATTCAAAATAAATTAATCAACTCGGGAACATGAACTACATTGACCATTACTACATACATATATACATACATATGTATTTAGCTATATCAGATTGACCAACAAAGAGAGATGGTGTCACTTTTTGCCCGAGTTTAATTGTTGTCCTCCGATCGATCAGATGAAAAAAAAAAAAAAATAAATAAAAAAATTATTAAATGCTTTGGAGCCATTCAATGCAAATGTTTAGATGTCTATAGTCCACGATGTCTATGACATTTTGTTGCCATGGTGTTCGTTTGATATTGATAGCATGTGAATGTATGGGTATATCATAGCTTCATGGAATACAAAATTGTCGGCGATCGTCTTTGTTTGTATTGTGACGAGCCTCTTTTTGTGCCCATTTTTTTTATTCATACTTGTCGATATGTAGAAAACCGCCTGTTCGCCAGTATTGAAATAAAATACAGTTGATATCTAAATGGGTGTGTTTTTTATGCCTTTCTGTGATGCGGCGATCATCGACATTTTTCGACTGCATTCTGTTGGCAACAGTACGACAGACAGTTGCGTTTTTCCAGTTATGTAGCGGAGATTCTAGACAACTGTTTTTGTGGAAAAATATATAAAAACAGAACATTTTTGGGCTCCCCCTTTTTTTACAAACATTTTTTAAGTCTTCCCAGGCAAAAATCGAGAATCAGTTTTTAAAAATTTTGGATCTGATACAGAAACAAATCCAGTATAGTAAAAAATGTTAGCCTTTTTTTTAATTTTTTCCAGATATAGTTTTCTTTTTTTTCTACTGAACCGGTATTAGCAAAGAAAAACTTAACAGAATGTACGGAACAGAATCGGGTTATCCGGACCCATATCTCCGGATTCAATAAAGATAATAGCAAATATCGCAGCATTTTGGAAAGGGTCATTTAAGCTATAATTTTGTATTTTTAGGGGATATTTTCGACTTTTGAGGTATTTTGTAAAAAATCTGGATCCAAAAAATAAATTACAAATATAAAAAAAAAATACTTCGCAGAAAGCGAAAGGATTATACGATTTTTGTCCAACTTCGCAAGTCCTAATATTTGCATCAGTGCTAGGTCAGGTGCAAAAATGGCCACAAAGTGTCAAAATTTTGAAATATTATAACATTTATAAACATTTTTATTAACCCAAGGTCTGGTGTGAAGATGGAATATATCGATCCACTCCTTCTGGTATCTCCGCCACATAGCGGTCAAAATTAACATTCGATTCCATTCAGACTTGGCACATCTCAATATCTTCATAAACACAAGATCTATCATAAAGATGGTAGAGACCCGAGCACTTCTTCTGGTTCCTCCCCCACAAAGTGTCAAAGTTTTGAATAACCAAAACGATTATGAAATCCCAAATAAGCGTCCGGTTCTCTTTATACTTCAAACACCAATGATACCGTCACACGCTGCCCGAATGTTGCTCTGCGGTATTGTGGTCCATTCCCGGCGAAGAGATTTCTTGAGGTGATCGACACTTTGGTATTTTTTAGTGCCAACCTTGCTTTCCAAAATACTCCAGACACAATAGTCCAAGGGATTGATATCCGATGATTTTGGTGGCCATTGTGCGCTGAAAATGAAGCGAGGAACCTCAATTTGTAATCATTCTTGGGTAGCGAGCGCTGAGTGCGATGGTGATGAGTCCAGTTGGAATGTCAAAGGTCTGCGGCCAAAATGTTTGCTTGCCCAAGGCTTTAAACACCCTCCAGAATATTTTCGCTATAATATTCGGCATTTATTCTGATGCCACGATCGATTAATACGAGCGGAGAGCGACCATCGGCCGTTATGGCGGCCCACATCATCACCATGGCCGGCACTTGAGTTCTGGTGGCCAACCGAAGGTGAACATTTTCAGCTGACCTCTTTGTTACTTACCAATGATCATTTATTTTTTTTACAAACTGCTGTACAACGAATGTTTTCTCATCAGAGAAAACCAAATCCGGCAGTTCGGCCAAGCGAAGCAACTCTTTAGTTCTATTGAGTCTATTTTCTTTCTGTTGTGGTGTAAGCTCTTGCACTTTTTGGAATTTCAATGGCTTTACCCCGAGCTCATTTTTCAATATTTGCCGAATGAAATATCGCGATATGTTCAGCTCACGAGCCATTTTTTGGCCACTGTGACTCGGGTTTCGATCATGTTGCTTCTTTATTTTTCGAACCATTTTTGCTGATGTTGCTGTTTTCTTCCGTCCACTTCCTTGACGTCGGGCTACTGTTGAACTTTGTTGCAGTTTTTTCATCTCACCCTGTATTTATATCATATTTATTATGGTCCGACAATATTAGCCCAATGGACAATATTTGTAAATTCCTTCGGAACCTACTCCATAGAGGGTCAACAATTTGAATAATCATAACAGAAACCAAAATATATTTAAATCATCGAGGGTATACTTTTGCCGGCAAACCAAAATATTCATATAAATAATGCGAATTTCGAACATTTCTAGTTATTTCGAATGATATGAATTCCATTTCTCATTGAATATTTTCCAGAACATTCTTGCTGTTCAATTGATTGTCCCGGCAATTTTCAACGTACAGCGAAAATTAGATCATTCAATTAACAAAATGACATTTTGCGATGCGATTCAATTCTGGACAATGAAAGTGAAACTTTTAATATGACACCTAACATGTATTCGTACATATATGTACATACATACATATGTATGAATATCAACATACATTGAAGTGAATTGCATGCGGTACGCAATTTTCGCAAATTGTTTTGTTTGTAACTTGACAATTGAATGGGATATCATAACCTTATTGTCGAGCCAGCGTTCTCTATTAAATAAATGTGACCCAGCGTTCTCCATTAAATAAATCATGATCATCATCGTCTAAATCAAAGTTTTTCGAGAACTCTGATTCATAGTCGACAATTTTCTGGGTTCTTACGAACCCAGCATTTTTTTTTTTTGTTTTGAGTTTACTTTCGCTTACCATGAATGGTATGAGGCATAGCTGTAACATGTACATGTATTGGTGAAAAATTGAGGTTATAACTTCATTTATTGTTTTATTGAATATAGCAAACCTCACTGGCGTGATCATGGCGATTGAAAAGTGGCAATATTTACTTGTGAATGGTGATCAATTTAACGATCAATGGAAATGCGAGAATGTTCTGGAAAAGCTGTCACATTCAATAAGAATGTTCTTGCTTGCTGCCTAAAATTTCCATTCCTTACCAACATCATAGCCTTTTATTCCAAATTTATTCAAATATGTAATAGACATTTAAATTGCTGTCTTCTGTAACAAGCGCTGACATCTCCATAAGAAATTGAATTGAAATTTGAGACATGTACTACCCTAGACATTTTGGCACATCCATTGCTGTGTCTCTCTCTCTCTCCATCCGTTGCTCCATGTCATATATATGGCGTGACTTCTCCATAAGAAATGTCCTAGAAAGCTAATCCCTAATAACCTTCCAACTATCATTCTTCAGGTTTATTGTCTCATCAAGGCCGTGTGTTGAAGGAATTTCCAAATGCAAGCGAAGAATAACAAAATGAAAACAATACCAGCCATGGATGATTGTTGGGAGTGGTTGTTGGAAACATTTTTTAAGGTTGTTTACCAGAACCTAGACATCATAAACTGTGACGCATACAAATATATATGGGGGCCATAAAATTTATGGTGGAAATTTGTTAAATGACGTATTTCTTTGTCTAAGGTCTGGTTTTCATGGTTGAGGATGATTAGCCAATATTTTTTGTTTTGATAATGAAAATTGATTGCAAATTTGGCAGGCGTCTAGAAAAACTGTCTGCAAACAGCTAGATGAGGCCATTAAACTCCTCCTTGGAAGCTCCTATGAGAAAATATTATAGTCTTCTATAAGAGGAGACATAAGGGTCCTCTCAGAGAAGAATTCAAATTCTTTCAAAAAAAAAAAAAAAAAAACAATCAAGTGTTCTTCTCCGAGAAAACTTGAAGATCTTCTCGGAGAAGCCTTAAAGATCTCAGAGAAGACTTAAAGGTCTTATCATAGAAGACTTTAAAATAATCTATTGGAAGACTTTAAAGTCTTCTCAGAGAAGACTTTAAGGTTTTCTCATAGAAGACTTTTAAGCCTTCTCATAATTTTTACATTTTTTTTTTTAAATTTTATTCAATGAAAGCAAAAAATGTCGGAAATAGCATCAAATTTTAGAATTAGTTTAGATTTGTTCGAATTGGTCACATTTGGCACGAATTATGTCCTTCAAACGGCCAATGAAATCGTCACACGCTGTCCGAATGTTGTTCTACGGTATTTTGTCCCATTCCCGGCGTAGCGCTTGCTTGAGGTGATCGACACTTTGGTATTTTTTAGTGCCAACCTTGCTTACTAAAATGCTCCAGACACAATAGTCCAACGGATTGGTATCCGGAGATTTTGGTGGCCATTGTGCGCTGGAAATGAAGCGAGGAACCTCATTTTCTGACCATTCTTGGGTGGCGCGTGCTTAGTGCGATGGTGCTGAGTCCTGTTGGAATGTCCAAGGTCTGCGGCCAAAATGTTTGCGTGCCCAAGGCTTTATTACACCCTTCAGAATATTTTCGCGTTTATTCTGATGCCACGGTCGATTAATACGAGCGAAGAGCGACCATCGGCTGTTATAGCGGCCACACCAACACCATGGCCGGCGCTTGAGTTGTGGTGGCCAACCGAAGGTGCACATTTTCAGCTGACTTCTTTGGCAAGTAATCAAGATCATTTTGTTTGTTTACAAACTGCTGGACAACGAATGTTT